GACTTTAGGCAAAATGATGTCATCATTAGAACACAATTCATTCATAAAAGGTGCTTGGGAATGACATCATTTAAAAACAATGACTTGTCTTACATGGCGGATGTAAGACTAATAATATCTGTCACATGTTGCAGGTTAGGACCGGAATATCCGTCCCAAGGTGACCCGCCCATGGGCGGGAGACCGAGGGACGGATATTCCGATCCGAACCGCAAACACATGTCAGATATTTTTTCTTGCATATTCTACCATATTCCATTAAATTTTAAATTCTTTATCTTTACTTTCAATGGAAATTTATATCATTACAATTGTAACTACTTTCTCACAACAGCGTATGAATTACAACTTTATTCATAACGGCAAAATGACGTCATCCTAAGCGTGCCATTGTACAGCACGCGACTCATCTGGCACCCCCCATGCCAGATGAAATTTCCGGTATGGGTAAAACTCACGGAAACGCCAGTCTGATATGCAAGAAAGGTTTTTCTAGCACCGGTGAAAACAGTGGATAATCCTATCTGATATGCAAGAAAAAATCTTTCCTGTTTCAGCAAAATATGACCTCAGTTGTGTTGGTGTGCCAAACCAAACCAAACCAAAAATTTTTTTCAAATGATTACAAGCCTTATACATACAGATACTTAAAGAAACTTCACTGAGCTTCAAGGCATAAAAACTTAAGATTTGAATTTCTGAAATGAATCAGGTCGGGCCACATAAACAAAAAGATACACAAGAGATAAAAAAAAGAAATTATAACATGAAGTTGAAAATTTTATAATGGTTCTATTAGTATCTAATTTGAGTTTAAAGCTGCATTAATATGCTTTTCAATATCCGGTCATTTTTATAGTTCACATAACTGCTCTGAAAAAAACTTAGCAAATGATCTAAAAGTTTAAGCAAAGTAATTTGCCCATACTTTCATCAAATTGAACATAAATCTCAACTCCCATGATGCCAAGATAGGAATCCCTTTAAGAAGAAGCAAATTGTATTAAATAATTATAAAATCTTGAAATTTTTAGAGGGTGGGAGATCTTGTTTCATAAGTATTAATAGATCACTATGATTTAAAAAAACAAAACAAGAACAACAAAAAACAACACAAATTGTATTGTAAATAATTTTCATCAACACATCAATTTTCATCAATTAAATGATTTAAATATAATAATAAATCTTTTTGAAAGGTTAAATAAATTTGCTTTTATTTTTTTATTTCAATCTTATATGACTATGTAGAGATAATATAGCAATTTTAAACTTATAACTGTTCCTTGAAAACAAAATAGAATTAATTAAGAGCCTTGGATTTACAATTCTGCAATTTTGGCAACAAAAAAGGGTAAAATGTAGAAATAAGTATTTAAGAATATGCCAGACCTAACTTAATACCTGCAAATATAACAATACTGAAATTTATTGTATTGAAATTTAACAGCAACACAGTGCTAACTGGAGTTAGTACAGTGTTATCATCCAATAAGTAAATTTTGATTAATGCAACACAGTTCTAACTTGAGTTAGCTCTCTGTTGCATTTAAGTTATACTCACATTTGAGATAGAGCAAAATGCCAAGTGGTAAATAAAACCCATAAAATTTCACAATTATTTCTAATATTTTATTTACTGATGTATTTCATGCAATTAGGCTAAAATATGCAAAAAAGTCATTTTTGAAAAAAAATCAAGTTAGACCAGTATTGCGTTCAGCCATCGATACAGTCATGAAACTGTCATAAAAATGTACAGAAATGTTGATCTGAGCATGTGAAGTTGTGCACCTGGGTATTTTCGAATTGATTTATTTAGTATTTTTAGAGTTATTGGCCTTGACTTAGAAATTTTTTGTAATTTTCAATTTGTGTCGCATGTAACTCAAAAAGGATTTGACACAGAGTCATTTAACCTTACAGGAAGGTTGCTCAGCATATGTAGTTGTGCACCTGGGGTTTTGCTTGTGGATATTTCCAATATTTGTAGAGTTATTTCTCTTGACTTAGTAAAAACCGTTTCATTATGTTGTTATTTGTTCATTGAGTGCTTGAGTTAGAGTCAACCAACTTTAAAGTAATGATCAACATCACTAAATTACAGGAATAATGATCAACTTTGCATGTGAATTTTAGCTCACCAGAGCTGAATGCTCAGGGTGAGCTATATAAGTATCAAAGGGGGATGCTCCGGCATCCATCGTCCGCCGTCCTGCGTCAACAATCGTCTTCTTCTACTGAAACTATTAAGCTGTTGTACTTCAAATTTGGTCTGTAGCATCCTTGTGACAGTCACACTTGAATTTGCTCATGTCATTCCAAACAAATGTCAAAATGGTTTCCGCTCATTATCTTGAAAATTATTTATCACAAAGTCTACATATTTCACATAGTGATTGGTCATAACCCATCTATTGCAAGTTTCTTTCAAATAATACAATTAACAAAATTACCAATAATATGAGTCAAGGGCATATGTGTCTTTTGACATTTCTTGACTTATGAAAGTGTGAATATGAATTATCTGCTTCTTTTAAGGAACAAAATGCTTAATTAAAAACGTGTACATGTATTTGGTATCTTAGAACTATCTGCACTATTAAGTCCCTTATTAAGGTATTGTTGTAAATTATTATTTTCAGAACTACCCAAGATATTCATTTGAAATTTAACACATGCCTTGATAGTGAAAATTGTGGCTGACTTACAATCCATAAGTCTGGTATAGATTTTCATGTAATACAGTCATGTTATAATTCCCATTTGTGGATTATGAGATTTCCTAAACAAAATTCTTGTTAAATTATAAAAGTGTGTACTGTTTGTTAATTGCCAAACCAGAATTATATTGTATACATATATGTATTTTGTTAGATTGAAATGTGCTCTGTTTTTAAGAAATAAGACATTTTTTTATAAGTAAACCAAATTTGAGCCACGTCACGACAAAACCAATATAATGGGTTTGCGACCAGCATGGATCCAGACCAGCCTGCGCATCCGCACAGTCTGATTAGGATCCATGATGTTCGCTTACAGACCCTATAACAAGTCAAGAAACTGATATCGAACAGCATGGATCCTGATCAGACTACACGGATGCGCAGGCTGGTCTGGATCCATGCTGGTCGCAAACCCATTATGTTGGTTTTGTCGTAACACAGCTCATTTGTTTTAAATTTATCCATAGCATTGCATAAGAAATGCTTGTAATTCTAGTGGTTTGTTACAAATTTATTAACAATGAAACATGCAGTTAACTGAGTCATATGAGCCGCGCCATGACAAAACCAACTAATGCATTTGCGACCAGCATGGATCCAGACCAGCCTGCGCAGTCTGATCAGGATCCATGCTGTTTGCTTACAAACCCTATAACAAGTAGAGACTGATAGCAAACAGAATGGATCCTGATTAGACTGAGCGGATGCGAAGGCTGGTCTGGATGCATGCTTGTTGCAAACACATTACGTTGGTTTTGTCATGGTGCGACTCATTATGTGTTTTGATGTTCTTTCTGTTTTGTATGTCATTCGCGCATAATTACTAGTATATCAAATTCCCTCAATGCATGTAGAAGTTTTGCTCCAAACAATAATCTTACTTTGATCTCTTTTTGTGATCGTTCACCTAAAAACCAGGTTCAGGCGATAGCTGGTTGAAACTTAAGGGTGAATAATTAAATCTCTTGATAACCAGCTTAGTATTTTTGGGTTATTGCCCTTTGACCTTTGTATAAGTTTTTTTCCTGATTGTTAGGATTTGTGAGTCTTCTTGTTCAAAAATATAATTTATAAGAAGACTTACCTAGTCATTTGTAGAAAATATAGAAAATCATTAATGCATTCAAAGTTGGCTTAGGGCATTTTATTACAATTTATCATCACATAACAAATTTTTTTGTATCTATTTTGTAAACAATGTAAAACAAAATTGCAATAAACAAACACTCCATGAACAGACATTACATGTCAAACAATGCCTATGTTATTACAGACTATGTTTTGCAGTATAAATGGTTTCAAGGTTATATTTCCAAAGCTGCTTTAGGAGTGTTATATAGCTAACTGCCATTTTGTGTCTCAAAAGTCTTTATTATAATAACAAATTTGTAATGTTGCACATTTGCTTTGATTTTGATTAAGATATCAATTAATTCACAGATTTGCTATTTATATATACATATAAAATTAATAATATATCCTGAAAGCCCAATGAAGATTAACTTAAAAAGATGGGGAAAAAAAGATTCTCTTTAATGTTCATGTATTGTCTATTGAACAATTAGCAATTCTCCATACAAATGAATTGTTGAAGGGCCTTAGGAACTGGGAGCTGTGAAGGTCAAAATTGAATCATTACACTTGCTAGTTTAGTAGCAAGTCACTGCCAAGCGAAAGCCACACTTTGCTTGTTTTATTTCTCAAGTCAAACACATTGGAAGAAGACTATTATAGTAAAGAATACTCCTGAAAACATAATTGTCTTGAACAAAATACAATTAAATCATCATATTTGAACTTGATAGTCAAGGTCATTAAAAAGGTCAAGGTTGCATCTGAATCAATCATTATAAGTGTTATTTTGTCCAAGAATGAATCAAATCTATAAATAAATATTAAAGTTATGACAATATAAGGAAATTTCAATAATTTGACCTTGATGGTAAAGGTAATTTAAAGTTCAAGGTCATTTTAGAATAAATCAACATATCGGTTTGTCATGTGTTATTTTGTCAAAGTTTAAGTCAAATATGCAAATAAGTAACAGTTATGACAATTTAAACAACTGTAGCCCTTGAGATTAAAGTCAAGTAAAGATCAAGGTCATATCAGAATATTTCAACATGTCTGTTCCGTCATAATATGTTCCGCCATAATATCTGCCTTGCAAGATTTGAATCACCAACATTATGAAGGAAAGAATGTTGTCATTTACACTTCTACCAGAGAGGTCATCTACAAAGGAGGGAAAAAATGAAAACAAACGACAGTGTGTACAAGTATTCTATTTATCTTTTGATATATCTTCCTTTTATTATAAGAAAATTCAGTATCTTGAAAATTTACATGAATGTCATCAAAATAAGTGAACATTGTTATTGTAAGTAATTTAACCAGTTGAGATTCTAAATTATAAGACCACCACAGCTGCGATTAGAATCCATTTACAAATGATGGTGTATAATCTAGGGGCTATAACTTTTAAAACTTCATTAATTAAAAGATTGAAACTTGTTCTAAAAATTTCATTACAGTTTCAAGTAATCTGATTCCAATATTTCATTTTTGTAATATTTTAATGAGGTAAGAGGTGAATTTATGCTGTAATGTTTATTTCCTTGGTCTGCAAACTGCCCTGAGAACGTTATAATCCAGAGGAAGGCGGAGATAACTCGGTATAATAAACTGTGAAAATCGACTAGACGCAAGTAAACTAGCTTCTGCCAAATCGGGGCCTGAAAAACAAAAAACATTTTCACTTGAATTGTAAGTTTTTAGTAAGAATATAATTACTTTGGCTTAGGATGTCAAGCTTAAAGCCTATTTGAACCAGTCGAGGGTCCACTTCCTAGAACTAATCAGTACTGATGACATATAAGGAAACATGGCTTTGACTAAAGTTTGGCTTGAACCCATGATCCCTGGGTTGAGAGGTAGACACCTTACCTACCAGGCCGCAGTTCCCCACGTTTGTATTTTATGTTTCATGCGAATGAAGATCAATTATACATTTTTTGTCAAAATTCCCAGGCGGAAATTAATATTACTTAAATTTTATGCATACTTTAAAATTCTGACATACATTAATTGTCCTCCAAATGAGTAATTTATCTAATATAAGGTGTTACTAGAAAGAAAATTGTGCCTTCAACTTTGTAAAGCCAAGAAATTAAAGAGTATGATAAATAAGGAACCATATGTGTTTGAAAAATTGTTAACATTTCATTCAGCTAATACAGTATTATATTGTACTGTATCACCTTGTAACCACTGCCAAAAAAGGAAAAATATTTAGTTGCGCAATTCTTACAAATAAAAACCTACTGATAATTATCTCACTTACCTATAACAGTTATATGAACCTGTCTATCTTTAAGGTAGTTGGCAATCTGGACGGCATGAGCCGGGTTAGACGACCTGTCGTCCATAATCAGCAGTATATGTTTCTGTACTCCCGGCCGTCCCTGTTGTTTAAATAGGTCATATGCTTTTCGTAGAGCACCTGCTGTGTTCACGGTTATACGTATGCTGGGTTTCAGCCCACTGTCGATAACACGACACACATTCTCGGTCGTGTAGCTGTCGTGTAGATTTATAAGTGTGGACACTCCCCTAGCGTATTTTATGACACTTACTCTCACTCTGTATGGATGTATATCTAACCTATAATGATAACAGCATCAAATATATTTATAAGATCACACATGTTTCAAGAATATTTACTTGAGGAAAATTAAAGTCTATAAGGGCTAAAGCCCTATATCCAATCTGAAAACAAGAGTTTGTTTGTTTGGTTGGTTGGTTCTATGGCGCACCATCACAATTTAGATAATGGTGCTAAAGATGAATTTGGCTTAGAGTGTTACAAACTGAAAGCAAAATCAGGGGTCAAAATCACTTTACATGCTGAATCTAACAGATACATAGACTCCAATTATTCAAACCCATTTAGTTGTCTCATTGCGCAGGAATAAACTGTGGCTGCAATTCTGATGCCTCAACCCTTAAAGGCAAACTCTCGGGCACAAGGGGGTGAAAACAGAGTTACATGTATAATATTAGCCAATATTAATGATGAACAGTTCACCTATAAGATGATTGTAAACAAACCAAACTTAAAATCATTCAAATTTTAATTGATAATTGTAAATTCAAATGAATTAGGTCACCACTTTAGATAATTAAATACTATTTAATTAAGGACATGACTGGTGACATGCCCAAGGTCTGTACTCTACGTGCCTGAAAGGGTAAATGGATCCTTGTTACCCATAGACTATACCGTCCATTATAAGACATATGCAAATATTTTAATATCTTAACTTCTATTCTGCCATTTGAGCCAATATTTAAGATAGGCATTTCAGCTAATATTCAAAATATTTTGGAAATATTTCATTATCTTTATTATTATCTACTCAGCTCTTTTAGCCAATACTTTATTTCAATATCTAAAATTGTATTACTAATCAAGTACATCACATAACATTCTGTCAAATGTTTCAATATGTTACCTTCTAATTAAGCATTTCAGCCAATATTTCAGATGTTTATTGACATGATGACTGGCATCGTGAGTCAAACTGTTTGACAAGTCTACAGCAATAATTAGGTCAAACTGGCTCTCACATTCACTGTGCATTGCTAAAATTATAAAAACAAAAAATAAAAAGTTTCAGACAAATTGAGATTAATTATATATTTTTTATACAAACTCAAACAGTGCAAGACAAGTGAAGTGTTTTAAACGACATTCCCGAGCTCTTTTTATGAATGAATTGCTTTCTTAGTATATGATGTCAATTTGATGTTATGAATGAAGTTTTTGTAATTCATAAGTTATGGTAAGAAAAAAGTACTAAATGAAAATATATGCTCTAAAATATTGTTTCTATGTAAATATGCAAAAAAAAGATTCGACTGCAGTAACAGACTGGAATATTTAGCTCTGGAAACTTGCCAAAGCTTTGTTACCATCATAAACATTAACCCTCGAGCTAGATATTCTGGTCTGTACCGGTAGAAGCAATTGCCACCACCAGGCTAAGAGTTAAGTAAATCATACTCACTTATGCACAAGTTTTCATGGTATGAACCGGAACGTCTTGTTGTAAAACCATCAGGACATGGCGTGCAATCGGAGCTGTTTTGTGAACTGTATGTACCGATCGGACATGGTCGGCATCGCCCATCTCTATACACATATCCATTTATACATGACCTTGCTGGAAATTCAATTACAGAAGAAAAATGTTCAATGATCAATTTTAAAGTATGAACAACTGTTTAATGGTTTTATTAAAACTAGCATACATACCTATACGAAATAAAACTAGCATACATACATACAGGAAATATAACTAGCATACATACCTATAAGACAATTTCAAGGTTTCATAAAAATTATCAAGAATTCGGAGTCAAGCCACTTTAAGAGTAATATATCTAATTGAGTCGCGTCATGACAAAACCAACATAATGGGTTGGCGACCAGCATGGATCCAGACCAGCCTGCGCATCTGCGCAGTCTGATCAGGATCCATGCTGTTCGCTTACAAACCCTATAACACGTAGGGAAACTGATAGCAAACAGCATGGATCCTGATCAGACTGCGCGGATGCACAGGCTGGTCTGGATCCAGGCTGGTCGCAAACCCATTATGTTGGTTTTGTCATGATGCGGCTCAATTTACCTCCATTGTCTATACAGTCATCTGGTGAAGATGCCGTGTTTATCAGTGTAGATCTCCCATCACCACAATCAATACATTCAGGATCCAGCTTATACCTACGGTATTTACCATACCCGCAAGGAACGCAACTTTCCTCAATGTCATCGAAAGTGTAACCACCGGGACACCAATCTATATATAACAATAACAATAGTTATTTAGGTTGTCATCTCTTAAACCAAGTTATTTTGTGTACAAGCCCTACTGGAGTCATGTCCTTCTCTGACACTAGTACTGGTTAGTTCCAGTAAAGAGACAAAAAAAGACATTAAAAGTTTTAAGTTTCTTCCGTCAAAAACATATTCAAATCAAATGTTAGGTCTTTTTCTACTATAATGAACTCTCAGTAGAGCGAATCTCTTCATGCCACAAAAATAAAAAATTAAACAAAAATTCTTTAATAAAGCTTTGCCTGATCAAATGTATATAGTTTTTTAATGTGAAATATCAGTCAAATACATGTATTATTTTTCTTTGAATCAAAAATGATTCCAGGTCATCTTCAAAAAAAATATAAAGGGGAGTGGCAGCCAAGTGGTTAAGGTGTCCCCCTCTAAACCCAGGGATTATGGGTTCGAACCCTGCTCCGGTCACAATTATGCTTCCTCTTTTGACACTGATTTGAAGTGGACTTAAAAGTGATCAATTAAAGTAACAACCTGCAAGAATTTGTTTTGCAAACAAGCTACAACAAATCTGTTTTTACTGAAATATAAAGTTGTCCTGTAAAAAAAAAAAAAAAAAAAATATCCAGCATAATAATAAAATCTTCATACTTTCATTGCACATGTCACTTGTTGATCCTTTCCCTTTTGTTTTTTTATTGTCCTCACATGGAGTACAGCTTAGTGAATTCTCTTCATCAGAAAAGGTATCTTTTCTACATTGCTCGCATGATTTCGCTTCTAAATTTATGAAAGAACCTTTCGGGCATGGATCTGAAATTCAAACAAAAACATTCACCGATTTTATATTATTTTCTTCTCCAAAACATATGAATAAGAGTTTAAAAGAAATAGAATACGTTTAAACTAGAAGGCTGAATGGTCTACCAATCTTTTGGCAGTGTAGGGGTCGAGCAAAGGGCCTGAGTTACTGTCCATTTAAGTGAATAAACATTGAACAAAAACAAAAAATAACAGCAAAAGTTAATGAGTTATTGGTAAATGAGACATACACACTACAACAGACTCAAAGTCGATTGGTCTACATTGGGCAACTTTTCCATGAGTGCAACTTTTCCATTAGTATTTCAAATTTTGACCAAAAAAATGGAATAAAAAAAAATATCATTTCGATACATTCTTTTTTCATAAAATATTTCTTGAAAAATATGTGATATAGCTCTAAATGATCAAGTATAAAAATTTGTAGACAATGAAAATAATATATTGGTCTAGGACTCTTCATTATCTGGTATATAATATTATAGAAATATCATATAAAATCATAAATCACAAACCATATTTTTTAGTGATTTATTGTCAGGATTTATACTTAATAAAAATATAAAAAGCTTCTGGTATTACAAACCTTCCATTATAGACCAATTCACTTTAAAGAGTGCAGTGAAAAAAAAATCAGAACTAAATTTATTCAAAATTATCTGCAACAACTGGGTAGTAAAACAATAACATACCTCGGCATTCACTTCTAGATTTGGCAGTTAGGGTGTATGTAGCACCACTAGGACAGTCCTGACAGCCTGTATCATCTAATGACCTGTATTTACCAATTCCACATTTAAAACAATCCTTCTTTCCTTTATCGTAAGACATTCCAGGGTCACACCATTCTAACATGAAAAAAAAGCAAATTTATTTTTACATTTTATCACTTTCTGACTTTTTTGCGCAGGTTTATTAAGTAGCAAAAGACATCAGTTGTCCTTCCATACATTAAATCAGTCAAAAGCAAACATGTGAGTTATGCACCACCAAATTTACATAAGATTGCTGGATAGGTTCTTCATATGTAAGAATCCAAAGTTCATGATTATAAGGTTCAAACCCAGAACAGCAAGGTGCAAGAGAGTCAAAGTCAGTATCTTTAACCATTAAGTCATTGAAAATGTAACAAATTTTAAAAAAAACACACTTCATATTTAGATTAGAGAGCGGCTAGATCTCGATATCTTAAATCACAAAAAATATTCTATAAATAAAAAAACACAAAGGTGTGTATGATAACTCACGATTCATCCATTAGTTAATGCTAATTAATTATGTTTGCAAAGTGCATAAGCTTTTTTTTTTTGTTTTATGTCACATAAACAGTAGAGATCAAACGACCACTTTGTTTGATTTGTTTGTTTGATTGGGTTGGACACAGAATAGGTCATATGGCGATGTCCCAGCTTTACTGGTGGAAGAGACCATGCATTCTTTCAGGCACTAGCAGGCACCTGAGTAGGACCAGTGATGTTCTGTAAGCTAGCTGATTAGCTTCCTCACAGGAAAGTTTCCAAAATCCCTGGTAGGATTCAAACATACAGCGGCAAGGGGCAATTAAACGACCTTTAACATTTTTGCTATATATACCCCTACTTTATGAGATAAGTAATGTTTGTAATATGATGCACCAGAGAACAACTACAAAACAATAAATAGTATACCATATTTACTTTTTGTAGATTTTGGGTTGACCCTTTTTTGTTGTTGTTGGAATCAGATATATTAATCATGTTATCATAGACTTTCCAACATGAAAAAAACACTGATAAGTTCATTTTGTTTAGATCGTAAATTTATATCTAGCATTATAAGCTTGAAAATATTACCTGCGGAGCATAATGTCACTGATATACTTCCTTTAAACATCGTATGTGGACGTTTCTTTGGGCATGACTTACAACCCTCGGCCCCAGTTTCATCCTGATAAAAGTTCTTCTCACATTCCAGGCATTGTCCACTCTGACCTGAAGGTTTGTACTTTCCAAGTGGACATGGTTCACATTCGTCCGCGCTGCCAGGTTTAGGTTGATGTCCTCCTTGGCACCAATCTATAGAACATACATGTAATTTTATATTTATTTCCAAACAAAATGTATCAGACAAAACAGAACAAAAGTGTTTTTGCCTCTGTCAAACCTTGCTTTATTCTTAAAACCTTCAATGTTTTAAAGCAGTATATGTTTTTTTTTTTATATTAAAATAGTACTGTTGAGTACTAATATCATTTCAGGCATAAGCAAGCAAGAACCTCTAACATTTTGTAAATTAGCTGAATAGCTTTTTATACATAAAAGAACTCTGTGACTAGTCAGAGATTCAAACCCACAGCTGTGAGGGAAAGTTGAATTTTAACCACTCAGCCATGGAGGTCGCCATGTAAACAATGTTTGAATATATAGGATGAATATTACAGCAAAAAACCTCACCTGATTGGCATTGATCTTGACTAGTGGATCCTTTATTTTGAGTTGTCTCTCCATTACCACAAGATTTACACGAGGTTTGGCCGGTCAAGTCCTGGAAGAAGTTTAATTCACACTCTAGGCAGTCCCCTGTATTTCCTTCGGGCTTGTATTTTCCGGCAGGACAAGGGCTACAAGGGTTACCCTTCGGCTCATAGCCACCATCACACCAGTCTGAAATGTTAAATTTGTGAATACTAATAAGCACCAGTCTGAAATGTTAAATTTGTGAATATTAATAGGCACCAGTCTGAAATGTTAAATTTGTGAGTATAAATAGGCACCAGTCTGAAATGTTAAATTTGTGAATATTAATAGGCACCAGTCTGAAATGTTAAATTTGTGAATATTAATTGGCACCAGTCTGAAATGCTAAATTTGTGATTATTAATAGGCACCAGTCTGAAATGTTAAATTTGTGAATATTAATAGGCACCAGTCTGAAATGTTAAATTTGTGGATATTATTAGGCACCAGTCTGAAATGTTAAATTTGTGAATATTAATAGGCACCAGTCTGAAATGTTAAATTTGTGGATATTATTAGGCACCAGTCTGAAATGTTAAATTTGTGAATATTATTAGGCACCAGTCTGAAATGTTAAATTTGTGAATATTATTAGGCACCAGTCTGAAATGTTAAATTTGTGGATATTATTAGGCACCAGTCTGAAATGTTAAATTTGTGAGTATAAATAGGCACCAGTCTGAAATGTTAAATTTGTGGATATTATTAGGCACCAGTCTGAAATGTTAAATTTGTGAATATTAATAGGCACCAGTCTGAAATGCTAAATTTGTGAATATTAATAGGCACCAGTCTGAAATGTTAAATTTGTGAATATTAATAGGCACTAGTCTGAAATGCTAAATTTGTGAATATTAATAGGCACCAGTCTGAAATGTTAAATTTGTGAATATTAATAGGCACCAGTCTGAAATGCTAAATTTGTGGATATTACTAGGCACCAGTCTGAAATGTTAAATTTGTGAATATTACTAGGCACCAGTCTGAAATGTTAAATTTGTGGATATTATTAGGCACCAGTCTGAAATGTTAAATTTGTGAATATTATTAGGCACCAGTCTGAAATGTTAAATTTGTGGATATTATTAGGCACCAGTCTGAAATGTTAAATTTGTGAATATTAATAGGCACCAGTCTGAAATGTTAAATTTGTGAATATTAATAGGCAATCATTCTGCTAACAAGTGCTGTCCGTAAGATCTTGCTCCAATATCTTCTGTGCTTGACTGTAAGGGAAAGGCATAAATATGTAAAATGGTTACTTAGATTGATGGCAACTATGCCCATGTAAGATAATCACAGAAAGCAATTGTAAACAGTTTCAACCTATTCCCTTCAGTAACTTTGGAGGTACAAATGTGAGGTCAGTGCTGATGGAGAAGCACGCTGACAGCACCGCTCGGTGAAGTATAATAGCTCTCACTTTTCTTCAGATAGATGAAATTTAAATATCTGAACAATACCATAACAATAGTTTTGTAAATATCTTGAAAACTGTTGGAATTGCAAAAGGAAGAAAGTGTTTACACTGAGCCACCTACCATTTTATATAAAAGTAAATAACATGAAAACAAGCACTGACAAAGTATAAACATGTATATCTAATTTCAAGTGAGTAATGACTGCACAGCCTATATACATTTTTTTGTATAAAAAAGACATTGTAAATGGCAACAAGATTTTAAAAATTTAATTCACACAAAACTAGTTTTTTGTCCTTAGTAACACTTATAGCAATTGAATAAATTGTTTCAACACAATCTAACAAAAGAATCATTACAGGAGAGCAAAACTTCCTATAGGTACAAATACACCTGCTAGTATCAAGACTTTTTTTGTAATAAGAGAGCCAGACTTTGTAATTTAGGTACCAGTAAACCTGCTAGAATCATTTTTGGTATTTCAAGGGTCTAAACTCTTGATTGACTGTTCCAGTATAATTGATTATCTAACTTGGTCATGAAAAATTGTGGCTTATCTTCAAAGAGATCCTTAACTGTTACTCAAATTAAGTAGAAAACATTTTCTTTGCCCAACAAAGCATGATAAACAAGTAACAGATAACATCAAAAATTTTTTTTATTGTTTGTAAACAAACCCCTCCCAAAAAACAGCCAAATAAACAGTACCTGATCTACAGTCTGAAGGAGATGTTCTTCCAGTGGATTGTGTTGTATGTGTTGATGAACATGGTATACAGTATTGCTGACCCTCGTAAGGTTGGAAAGTATTCAAAGGGCATAGCTGACAGTTCTGTTGACTTCCTGTGGGTCTGAAAGACCCTGCGGGGCAAAGTCTGTCGCATCCGATAGTTTGTTGGTAACCTCCAGGGCACCAATTTGTCCCTTTGAAAACCAAAATGTAACAATTATAGCTTTAGATTATAAAATATGATTTATATGTAAGTTCATCATAACATGTATTTCATATAAGAAATAGTTTACATATTCTATTTCATACATTTAGTTTACAATAACATCCATTTCATGTAAACAAGAGGGCCATGATGGCCCTAAGGTCGCTCACCTGTATGTAGGCCCCCGGAGCAGGGCCAGTTTAAACCTCAGGGCTTTTATTTGAACGAACTTGGAAGACACCTATAAGAAGACGTTTCATGATGTACACACTTATAATGAAAAACAATGATCTGCCCTCCCCTACCCCTGGCAGGGCCAATTTTAACCAAGGGCTTTTATTTGAACAAACTTGGTAGACACCCATAAGATGATGTTTCATGCTAAACATCTAAGCTGTAGCTCATTGTGTTTTTTTCAAAGAAGATTTTTTAAATTTTTACTATACACATATAGTTAAAAACAATGACACCCCTGGGGCGGGGCCAGTTTTTACCCCAGGGCTTTTATTTGAACAAACTTTGTAGACACTTACTAGAACATGTTTCATGCTTAATATCTAAACTCTAGCTATTTGGGTTTTTTCAAAGATGTTTTTTAAGTTTTTCCTATACACATATAAGGAAAATCAATGACCCCCGGGGCAGGGACAATTTTGACCCCAGGGCTTTTATTTGAACAAACTTTGTAGACACTCACTAGAAGATGTTTCATGCTTAATATCTTAACTCTAGCTATTTAGATTTTTTCAAAGAATACTTTTTAAGTTTTTGCTATACACATATATAAGGAAAATCAATGACCCCCGGGGCGGGGCCAATTTTGACCCCAGGGCTCTTATTTGAACAAACTTGGTAGACACCCATTAGAACATGTTTCATGCTAAATATCTTAGCTCTAGCTCTTTGAGTTCTTTAAAAGAAGATTTTTTAAGTTTTTACTATATACATATAGGGAAAATCAATGACCCCCTGGGGCGGGGCCAATTTTGACCCCAGGGCTTTTATTTGAACAAACTTGGTAGACACCCATTAGAACATGTTTCATGCTAAATATCTTAGCTCTAGCTCTTTGAGTTCTTTAAAAGAAGATTTTTTAAGTTTTTACTATATACATATAGGGAAAATCAATGACCCCCTGGGGCGGGGCCAATTTTGACCCCAGGGCTTTTATTTGAACAAACTTGGTAGACACCCATTAGAACATGTTTCATGCTAAATATCTTAGCTCTAGCTCTTTTGGTTCTTTAAAAGAAGATTTTTTAAGTTTTTACTATATACATATAGGGAAAATCAATGACCCCCTGGGGCGGGGCAATTTTGACCCCAAGGCTTTTATTTGAACAAACTTGGTAGACACCCATTAGAACATGTTTCATGCTAAATATCTTAGCTCTAGCTCCATGAGTTCTTTAAAAGAAGATTTTTAAATTTTTACTATATGCATATAGGGAAAATCAATGACCCCCTGGGATGGGGCCAATTTTGACCCCAGGGCTTATATTTGAACAAACTTGGTAGACACTCATTAGAAGATGTTTCATGCTAAATATCTAAGCTCTAGCTCTTTGGGTTCTTTAAAAAAAAGATTTTTTAAGTTTTTACTATATGCATATAGGGAAAATAAATGACACCCTGGGGCGGGGCCATTTTTGATCCCAGGGCTTTTATTTGAACAATCTTGGTAGACACTCACTAGAAGATGTTTCATGCCAAATATCTTAGCTCTAGCTCTTTGGGTTCTTTAAAAGGAGATTTTTTAAGTTTTTACTATATGCATATAGGGAAAATCAATGACCCCCTGGGGCGGGGCCAATTTTGAACCCAGGGCTTTTATTTGAACAAACTTGGTAGACACTCATTAGAAGATGTTTCATGCTAAATATCTTAGCTCTAGCTCTTTGGGTTCTTTAAAAGAAGATTTTTTAAGTTTTTACTATATGCATATAGGGAAAATCAATGACCCCCTGGGGCGGGGCCAATTTTGACCCCAGGGCTTTTATTTGAACAAACTTGGTAGACACTCACTAGAAGATGTTTCATGCCAAATATCTAAGCTCTAGCTCTTTGGGTTTTTTAAAAGAAGATATTTAAAGTTTTTTCTTTTGGTTGCCATGGCAACCAGAGTTCTGCATGGAATTAAATTCTTTGAACAATTTTTAAAGGTGACCACCAAAGGAACATTCCTGTGAAGTTTGGATGAAATTGGCTTAGTGGTTTATGAGGAGATGTCATTTAAAGTAAAAGTTTGCGGACGGACGACGGACGGACGACGGACGGACGACGGACGAAAAGCGATCACAAAAGCTCACCCTGTCACTTTGTGACAGGTGAGCTAAAAATAGTTTACACATTACATATGTTAATTAAAAATAATAACATAAATTTTATGTAAGAAATAGTTAACACATTCCACATAACATATATTAATTAAAAATAATAACATTAATTTCATGTAAGAAATAGTTAACACATTCCATTTTACATATGTTAATTAAATATAATAACATCAATTTCATGTAAGAAATAGTTTACACATTCTATTTCATATGTTAGTTTTTCTTAAATAGTTCACATGTTAATTAAATGTAATAACATTCATGTCATGTAAGAAATAGTTTACTTTACACATTCTTTTTAATATGTAAGTTTAATTTAGCATCAATTTCATGTATTAAATAGTTTTCATGTAAATTAAATGTAATAACATTCATGTCATGTAAAAAATAGTTTACACATTCTATTGATATGCTAGTTAATAACAATGGTTACAAATATCTTTCATATAAAAAAATTACTATTTCATATAATACACATACCTGGACTCACACAACTGTTATGACTATCAGATGGTTCCAGGCCTGGAGGACAATCAATACATTCATTTTGTGTAGGGTTAGCTATCTGGTTCCCTGTACATTGTATACAACCTGAAGCAGCTGTAGGTCTGACAAATCCTGGACCACAATTCACTGCAAATAAATTAAAGGAACTTATTTCAAATTTCAACATGACTCATGATATTGTTGCTATACACACAGAAGACAAGAGCCAGTTGAACCGGGTGATGCTCCCCGAACAGGTTTTGGACACAGGAAGGTATACCTCTTGTAGTGTCAGAGTTATGTCGCAGTCGCAGACAAAGTTCAAAGTGTAAAAACAACCCAAGTGATGCGCGTGACACATTGTTTCAATATGGTGATAATTTTTGTGAAATAGTTGTAAAATCTGACTTCAAATAACAACAAATAATTCTCCTGAATTAGATACCGGTATATTACCTTCTCTCTACAGTTTTTTTTTTCTTATTTGTATTTTCTATTTTTAAATAATTTCTATTTACATGTATATCATAACATGTATACACATCACTATGTTTTACATTTCATCTCTGTTCTACGTATTTTAACAATAACTGGATAAATACACCCTTTTCTGTGCATAATAAAATCTCAAGAAGCTCAATGAGACATTCATTTAAGACCAAAGAAACCGACAGACTGATTGCATCAAGGGAAACCAGTTTTATCATATCATGATCCCAATCAACATGATGTTGTGGGGGTATAAATATTGAATTTTCAGAAAAAAATAATCAAGGTTAAGATAACGAAGAATTCCATATGTTGACACATTATGTGTCTCATCAAAGTCTCAACCATTTACCAGCACATGTCTTTATAATTAAATTGAAAATTCAATATTTAATGTGATTCTTAGTCCACATTGAGTTAAAAGCTTTTATTAAACCTTTTCGTAACTTAATGTAACTTTGCACGTAACTTAATGTAACTTTGCACGATTAAAATGATAATTCTTTTACAATTAAAATGAATTTTCTGAAAAAAAAATAAACCGAAGAGAGCAAATGATATAGTATTTAACACATAAGTTTTTGGTCAAGATCTTTCAAAATGGTAAAAAAAATCTCTGAAAAAATATTTTAAGGTCTCCTTATGTATGTCAAAAAACGTAAATGAAGTTACTCATACTAGTTTGAAAACAGAGACATTACCTGTTATACATGAAGTGGCTCCCATAATATATGAATATGTACCGGGAGGACAATTTTGACAGTTTGTGTATCCACCAGTGCTAAACGTTCCCGGCTGACACCAGTTACATAACTGTCTCTCCTCGTTCCATTGTTCCCCAGGAGGACAGTCAGCTGAAAGAGAAAGCAGCATCGTGAAATCAAAATTAACCTTCCTTAATTTGGATCCAAAATAAGTAAAAGCAAGAAATATGGCACTGCCACAAAATAAGGTTTTCAATTATCCCCACTTTAGAAAGTTATTTTATTTTGCAGATGAAATATAAATACACTCAATGTACAATGTAACTACATGTGTATGTGCAATGTAAATTATAAAATTAATAATGAACAAACAAAAGAAATAAAGAAGCATTTTATACTTTAGTAATAACAACAGATGGGAAAAGGAGTATTACATTGACAATGATGGGGGGCGGGGCTCCTAAACATCTTATCTTGACAAGATCTGAAGTCCTTACAACTAAATGTTTATTCAACTATGACAGAATGTGAAGGCATATGAACAATTTGTTTATTTTACCTTGACATGATGTGAAATCTTAAGAACTATTTGTTAATTTTACCTTAACATGATGTGAAGTCTTAAGAACTATTTGTTGATTTTACCTTAACATGATGTGAAGTCTTAAGAACTTTTTGTTTATTATTTTACCTTGATATGATGTGAGGTCTTAAGAACAATTTGTTTATTTTACCTTGACATGATGTGAAGTCATAAGAACAATTTGTTTATTTTACCTTGACATGATGTGAAGTCATTAGAACAATTTGTTTATTTTACCTTGATATGATGTGAGGTCTTAAGAACTATTTGTTAATTTACCTTGACATGATGTGAAGTCATCGGAACTGATAGGTCTGTCAGCAGGACAGGTCAAACACTCTAACTGGTACTCAACCGGATTGTATTTACCGGGTTCACATGGTACACATGAATCACTATCCTCGTCCCAGTGTTCCCCTTGACCGCACAATGCTTAAAATATATAATAAAATCAGTTTTTTTATTCAGAAAGGATTTTAAAAAAATATAAAAAAAACTCAATTATCTACAAAGAAAATAATAGTGTAGTTTTGAAAAGAGAAACTTTTATTTGAAATGAGACATTCAATGGAACTGCAAGAATTAATTTAATTTATAAATTAAAAAAAAAAATGGGTAATATTTAAAATGGTTTATCATACAACATGTTTAAGCATGTAAAATGAGAAACAGATGCTGATATTTTAAATGTTTATTATTGTAAAGTTTAACTAAGTGAAATGCATTGTGGATATGTTTGATAGAGTCAACTTACGGACACACTTGTCTACAGTATCTTGACGCGGGGCTAGGGTTGTGAACTGGGCTCGGCAATCCTGGCAGCTTGGCTGCACATTCTGCTGTCTGTACGTCCCTCGTTCACACTCCACACACGCGTCATTCAACGACTCATACCCATCAACACAGGGATCTGTAAATTTTCATAGGTGATTATAGATTGTATTGAAATCAGAAAATGGATATTGTTAAAAAGTGCTACATATTCAAAGCATTATCTCAAAGGTTCCCTAAAAGAGCTTACCCAAGGTATGATGTCGACATATTAACGCAAAAGGCTGTATAATGCCTTATAATAACAAACAAGAAATTCAGGCCAGAATTGTTTTGAAAGAATCATGCAATATAAAAGTTTTCATTTCTTTTGGATAATTATATCAGGCTGTCAAGCTACTTCGGACATAAAATTAGGGCGAATTTTAGGGCAATATTTTAGAAATTTTAGGGCTAAAATTAGGAATTTAAGGGTACATAATAGAAATTTTAGGGCTAAAATTTGGAATTTTATAAACTATGACCCCAAAGGACCATGATGTGGGCTAACCTTTGCATATTTGTCACAAAAGTAACTCACAAATAATGCTCTAGTTTAGTTAGGGCAAAGATTTCTACCAGTGTGGACTCAACTGCCTCCCCTGCAGAAATAGTCATAGTCAAACCATGTTCAAACCATATTTTAAATATGGTTTTTCATTAGTTGAACATGTCAAAAGAACATGCTCTACCTATGTTTTGTGAATGTTATAACCATGAGAATCTAAAAGGAATTTTTATACAGTGAAATTCATGCACAATGCAGCTTTTGAATATGGACAAAGAAATTTTTGTACAAGTAGGAAGTAAAAAGGTATTAGCCTTAGTACAGTCATTTGAAGATCATATAATTGCAAAATGTGTGTACATGGTTAGAATTAATTTTGCAAAGTCTACGTTAACACATTTAGTACTTTACAATGTTGTTTTGAAATTATGCAGATTTAAATAAAAGAGTTGTGAGTAAAAAAATTGCACATTAATTTTTGACAACTATTTATACATGTTTTTGATTAAAGTTGTGTTACAACAGCTTCATAATGATCATTTTAAAATATGATATGATATAAATGGACCACTTCAGCCATTTGGAAAAAAAGAACGAACATAAAATTCAAGATATCTGGAGTTGGCAAAACAGTGTCAAAATATTCCAGTATAAGTCAACCTCTTATGGTTATGATTTAAGTTTCAGGACCATGATATGGTAGTGTTTTTGCTGTTAACTGTCAACATGATTATAAACAACTGCTTTGATTATGAAATAGTAATGTTAGGGACATAGTCAAAGTAACTTTTAGTTGGAACGAAACCATTTCAATGTCACCAATTTTAAGTTGGCAAATCATGGCAAAATCATTTTTGACCATGTTCAAAACATGGTCCACTTTGTTATGTTCGAGATCATTTTCTCAGTGTTAAAAGTTGTAAGTATGTTTATAACAAAAGATAATTTTTTTTAGGAATATCAGTGAAAAAATAGGTCATTTTTAGGAATTCCCTTTGAAATTTTCACTTTTTTAGGAATTTTAGCCAAACTGAAAAAAAAAAGGATTTTTTAGGAATTTTAGGGATGCTGGACAGCCTGTTATATTAGCGGTACATTAGGGTCTTATAAAAATAATTATGTGATTATATAGTTGCAACCATACATCTTCAATTTCATTGAAGCTTCTGTAGTAAATAATTTTGGGGGACAACGTGCAAACACTTTGTTGTGGCGGAAAATTTGTAGGCCGCTGACAATCGAATGGTGCAACTCTATTTTTTAGAAATAATTTAAAGAATTAATATGTTTTAAATATTAAACTAAGGTATGGATTTACTCTCTTCAGAATATGGCTGACATTATTGTTCAGAAAACCAATTTTGGAGGGACAATATCCTATAATTTCTTTTATTTTTAATTAGCATGCTTTAAGTCTGCTCGGAACAGGGTGGGCTTATTGCGGAGATATATAATAGTTTCTTTAGTATTTATCAATTTAAGTAGCATATTTTTTAATTTTTGATATTATGGAAT